TTCCGGTTGAATGTCGAATAGTTCACTAACCATTAAATGTAACTTAGTTTTCTAATACATTTAAAGTATGACACCATTTTGACTTACCAAATAATAATGGTTTCAAATTTATCCGATCATTTACTAAGTGAGTAGTCATATTGAATAAAGTAAGCAAGTTTATGGCTAAGGTTTAGGTATAAAAAAATAGTAACCAAATAAAAATGGTATAAATAGTACATCACTCTCAACCTTAATAAGGTTTGTAAAAAAACTTTATTATTATTTTTTTCACCTATTAATTTAAAACAACATTAAAATTAACATTCACCATTATGTTCGATAACTTAAACTGAAGTACAAGTTACAATCCAACTAAAACTTTAAAATCAAGTACAAGATAAAATATAAAGGATATATAAAGCATTTCAAATTTAGAAGTACCAGACCAATTTCTTATTTATTTTTATGTTTTTGCATGAAAATGTTCATCATGACTAAAATACTGTAATCGGCATGATAAAAAAAAACATATATTCCATTTTCATTTGAGTAAAGTCTTGTATATAGATATCAAAAACAATTTGATATACCTTTTTATATTATACAAAAAATAACATTGCAAACTTTTTATGTTCGATAGTATGAAATAAGTGTCCACGGCATTTGATTTTTCAAGAGCATATGCATTTTTTTAGAAAATCTAACCACAATAACAACAGAAGGTGTAAACTGGACAAAACACACACAATTACCTAATTATACTCATATATTTTTTTTATCAGAAACAATATTGTAATTATCGGATATAATTAGATAATTGAATCATGCATTTTTTTTTTTTTGATAAAGTTGAATCATGCATTTTGTTAAACAGTTTAGTGTCACAAATTAGCATATGTTCTAGAAGTGTTCAAATCCATTGTAGCTCTAAAATACCGATAGATGAAGAAAACTTGAAAGATTCATCACCTAATCCATCAATCATCAATACCTAACCTTCATCTAATCCATCAATCATCAATACTTTTAAAAGTCCGGTCCTAAGACCCAACTAGAAAACTACTCTCATCAAAAAGAATTGATGAAGAAGAACATTTTGATTTGCATAACATAGAAAGATAGGATGAAGAAATCTTCTTTAATATTAAAAGATGATTAAAACTTTGTCCAATGTGCTTATAAAAGAAATCTTTTAACTAAACTGTGTATAGAAATCTCAACAAAACACAGGCATGGTGTTTTTTTTTTCTTTGTTAAACAATAGAATACAATCCAAAAACCTAATTTTATAAATAAACGATGAAGACAAAAAAATGTGCTAGTCGTATCAATCCAAAATAAGCCATATTCAATCTTACATTTTTCAACCAAATTGAGATGGATTCAAATCAACATATATTTTGTTTAGTCTTAAGAGAAAAAGGTGAAAAACCATTTAAAACTTTCGAAGTCGAAACAAAATTTGACTAAAATAAAAATTATAAATTTTTGGATAGTATGGTATAAATTTAAATTTACCCTTTAAATTTTAGAGTCTTAATATTTTAAGTTCCACTGTGTAGGAATATACACAGATAATTGTGAAATTAAATAGCAGTCATTGTCACCTTTTCACAAGTACTGTATAGGAAGAAGAATACCATTTTAACCCTACTACTATTTTGTGTAAAAAAAAAATCGATGGAGGTGAAAAGGATTATTTTGGTGGGACCTCTTTGGAAATATTATTAGAGTCTAAAATATTGCAGTGAAGCTTAAAATATTTATAATACGTAACGAATTTCAAGTAATATGCTAACACTAACATTATCACAATATCATATTAAGTAATCAATAATTATCATAAATTCGATATTAGTTTGCATAATAATCAAATAAGTTATCACAACATCTTAGTTAGCATAATATGATATTAGTTAGCACGATACTCAAAATAGTTATCACGATATCACATTTGTTAGCATGATAGTTAAATAGTTAGCATAATATCATATAAATTAGCATGATAATCAAAATTGTTATCACAATATATTACTTTAAATTAACATGATAATAGGAAAGTTAAATAGTTATCATGATACTAATTGAGAAATTTTATGCAATACACCTCATGAGGTGTAAATTTTCAAAACTACATCTATAGTGTGTCAATTTTCAAAAATACACTTTTCCTAATTTTAATATATATGTTTGGGTTCACTAATTCTAGAATAGGGTTTAGATTTTGGGGTTTAGGGTTTAGATTTAAGGGTTCATTGTTATATTTTAGGGTTTATATTTTAGGGTTTAGAGTTCTTTTATTTAATGAAAAAGTGTAGTTTTGAAAATAAACATCATAGAGGTGTATTTTTGAAAATTAGCACCTAAAAAGTGTAGTTTTGAAATTTCTCCCTACTAATTAGCACGATAATCAAATAAGTTATCACAATATTATATTAGTTAGCATAATATTAGTTAGCACGATAGTCAAAATAGTTATTAGCATGATAATCAAATAATTATCATAATGTATAAGTTAGCATGATAATCAAAACTGTTATTATAATATATTATATTAAATTAACATGATAATAGGAAAATTATCTATTAAAATCACATCAATATCTTGATGATGAATAGTGAAATCCATTGTTGATTAAATATTGTGATGTTGATAAATAAAGTTATTAACATTTTTACATGATAGTAAGTCTCATATAGGTAAATGGCATCTTATGTAAATATGTTAGAAAAAAGATAGTTTTGGTTAAAAAAAATTCTCTCTGCTAAAAAAACTAATTATCATGTTATTTATCCATATACCTAATTGTCAGATATTTGTGTATATTGATTAAATTTTCCCTACATTTTAAAGATAACAAGAGAATAAACAAATAAAAGAAACACGAAGTAATGTATTCTACAATATTCTCACTTGCTGCAATTAGTAAAAAGGAGAACTTATTATATAGCTCCACATGCCCCTATTTTCTATGTGTTGGCTCTTGGATTCAATGGCCAAGAAGGTACTATTACAAGAATTAGATCCTTCTTTATTTGTTATAGTTTCTTTGACATCTTTCGGTATCCACAAGAGATGACCTCTATGAGTCGGTTTGAATTTTGGTCCAAAATTTATGGCGTCTTTTTGGAACTTCGGTGAAATTGTGCATGAAAATACTATTGCTCTCTGCCTCTCTTGTCTAGTCTTCTTGGATCCGGGCTCGAATCAAGTTGTGTTGGAAGAGAAACATATATTCCCTTTAACCGAGTGGTAAACCAAACACTAGCTCCGATCTAGGAAATAAATTAACCAAAGAGCTTAAATTTTTCTGTAAATAAAATCGGAAAAACAAAACCGATTATTGATGTATGACGTTGGAAAAGATGCCTATAGCCTATAGTGTCAACTTCTGTCCGAAAATGTAACCCATTTTGTTCATATACCAACAAGAACAACGTGCGAAGATACTTTTGTCTTTTGATTTGGATGATGGAGAATTCACTAGAGGTTAAGCCCTGATCTTCTACATGTCTCTATCCATATATTTTAACCAAACACTAAAAAGAATTTCTCTATCAAACGAACTTACCCTCTGCTGGATTAAAACGGCCGGATATGACAGATTGTTTTCAAATCCGAGCTATGGAATATATAAATCTCTGGTGGTTACATAAGAGTAGTGGCAAAAGATTCTCAGGCTAACACAAAGAATCTGGCCTTTTGTGAATGGTTGGTTTTGTGTCGCAGGCATGCAGCAACTTTTTTCATGTGTGATATGAACTCATTACAAGATTTGACACAAAACAAAGAATCATGAAAATTGTCGTTGTAATGCGTAACGACATTACATTTGAGATTTTTGCAAATGGATAAATGAAGGAAGAAATTCTATGACCAAATAACCAGATCTATGTACTATTGTATCTGATGTGCTGTTTTGGGCAGCAAAAAATGATTTCTTGAGGAAACAAAAGTGTTTCACATGCAGACAATATAAGCACATGAGAGCTTGATAATGTAGAGAGTTATATCAAATGATAAATGATATGAGAAGCCATGTGAGATATAGAAAAAACAATATAGCCAAATAGTTTTAATATGAATTTTTTTTATAAGATATTTTACTCTTTTGAAGATTTAGAGGATCTTCCCACTTGGATCGGTTGTGATAATAGGCAGTTTTGAGTTCTGAATTGGTGGAGAGCATAATTATTGGTCATACTAATGTATAATGCAAAAGCCGCAAAGTCTCTTCCTTTTTTTATTTCCACTTTTTGTTTTTTTTTTTTAATGTAAATGTAAAATCATATGTGTGTAAGAAACAAGTTTAACAAGTTGTGGTTGAATAGTAGAAAAGCATGCTTTGTGAGCTACTTTGTTTCAGAAACTTGCTAAAGACTCGTGTCACTCTTTGATAATCTGCAATCACATCAAAAACGGTTAAGAGCTTCGAAAGAACCTAACAACAGCTGATCAATTTTCAAAAGAAAGAAAACTTTGTGTAAAATTGACAGTTGCAATATTAGAATCAGTCAAGACTCAAGAAGGTGCTTTCTTTAATCTATTTAATAAAAAATGGAATTAGAGGTAAGATTCTTGATAAATGGAACAAAGTAAGAGATAGGTATAAATATTTGGTAAAGGAATTAGCTTTAGAATAAATTAAGCAAAAGGCAAGTGAGAGAGAGAGAGCAGGAGAGAGAATGTGGGAACCCACCATAGACGATTGATCGGCCAACATCGTAAAGAAAGTCTTTTATTTTTCTGTCTCTCTCTTCCTCTTTCTGTTTTTGCAACACACAAGAGTGATTCTAAGTGTGTGAAGGTATTTCCCACACTACTATATATTCATGTGCTCACATGGTTTCACTTTGAGGGAGATCAAGAAGAAAGTTACCAAAGGCACTCGCTTTTAAGCTTTCTCACCTTTCTTGTTTACTTTTGATACTCTTACAAACCATTAAGAACTTTCCATAAGAGCATCACAACGGCTACAACTACAAGGACGAGTAGAGAAACTAGCTCAGCATCCATCATGCCTCAGAACTGCATAGCACCAAGGCCTGAAGATAATAGCGAAGTCATAGTACAAGGTTTCACTGATATGTCAGAAACACAGAGCAAATCTGTGCTAGCCTTCCCCGTGGTCCCTTCACAACCTGGTCTCCAGCTTTCTATGTACCCCATAACTCTCAAGGTGTGTGTGTCTCTCTCTCTCTCTCTCTCCTTCCAGAAAGAGAAAAATAAATAGTCTTGTTCTAGTTTTCTGCTGAGCTTTGAATATTACCTGGAAACATTCATCTCTCTGCTTCCTCTAGCTTGGTAGTCATTCTAACGAAGTTTTCCATTGGTTGCTTTGTGGTTGTACAGTTTGAGGAGGTTGTATACAAAGTTAAGATAGAGCAGACAAGTCAATGTTTGGGATCATGGAGTTGCAAAGAGAAGACGATTCTAAACGGTATAACAGGGATGGTCTGTCCAGGAGAGATTCTAGCCATGTTAGGTCCATCAGGGAGTGGCAAAACCACTCTTCTCTCAGCTCTCGGAGGCCGCCTCTCCAGAACTTTCTCTGGTAAAGTCATGTACAACGGTCAGCCTTTCTCTGGCTCCATCAAGCGGAGAACAGGGTTCGTTGCTCAAGATGATGTCCTGTACCCACACCTCACGGTTTGGGAGACTCTCTTCTTCACAGCACTTCTACGGCTACCAAGCACCTTGAGCAGAGACGAGAAGGCCGAGCATGTGGACCGAGTTATCGCTGAACTAGGACTGACTCGGTGTACAAACAGCATGATAGGAGGACCACTGTTCAGAGGAATATCAGGAGGGGAGAAGAAAAGAGTTAGCATTGGTCAAGAAATGCTGATCAATCCTAGCTTGCTTCTTCTTGATGAACCCACTTCAGGTCTTGATTCCACCACTGCGCATCGCATTGTGACCACAATCAAACGGCTGGCTTCTGGAGGAAGAACAGTCGTCACCACCATTCATCAGCCATCGAGCCGCATATACCATATGTTTGACAAGGTGGTTTTGCTGTCTGAAGGAAGTCCTATCTACTATGGCTCTGCATCTTCTGCTGTGGAATATTTCAGCTCTGTTGGATTCTCCACTTCCATGACAGTTAATCCAGCTGATCTTTTACTTGACCTTGCAAACGGTAAACGATCTTTCTCTTTAAGCTTCTAAATCATGTAACATGAGAAAAAGGAAACCCATTTTTTAACTAATCAAAACTTGGCAAAACCGCAGGAATCCCACCTGATTCTCAGAAGGAGACAACAGAACAAGAACAGAAGACAGTAAAAGAAACCCTTGTTTCAGCTTATGAGAAGAACATTTCTGCTAAACTGAAAGCTGAACTCTGCAATGCGGATTCCCATAGCTATGAGTACACCAAAGCTGCTGGTAATGTTCGCTTATTCGAAGTAGTTCTTGTTTTACTCTGCTTCTGCTCCTCTACATCACTAATAATCTGTTCTTTAAAAATGTTGCAGCAAAAAATCTCAAGTCAGAACAATGGTGCACAACTTGGTGGTACCAGTTCACCGTATTGCTCCAAAGAGGTGTCAGAGAGAGGAGATTCGAATCTTTCAACAAGCTCAGGATTTTCCAAGTCATCAGCGTTGCTTTTCTTGGTGGACTTCTATGGTGGCATACTCCAAAATCTCACATCCAAGATAGAGTAAGGCTCCTACTCTCGATCCAAAAAGAAGAATGAACCTACACATCAATATTCTAACCACCATTCAACATTTATTCTGAATGCAGACGGCCTTGCTCTTCTTCTTCTCTGTCTTTTGGGGATTCTACCCGCTATACAACGCGGTTTTCACATTCCCACAAGAGAAAAGAATGCTCATCAAGGAGCGGTCTTCCGGAATGTACCGTCTTTCCTCCTATTTCATGGCTAGAAACGTTGGAGACCTGCCCTTGGAACTCGCCCTTCCAACTGCTTTCGTGTTCATAATCTACTGGATGGGTGGGCTCAAACCTGACCCCACAACGTTTATCCTCTCACTACTGGTTGTTCTCTATTCCGTACTTGTTGCTCAAGGTCTTGGCTTAGCCTTTGGTGCCCTGCTAATGAACATCAAGCAAGCCACAACGTTAGCATCTGTCACCACACTCGTGTTCCTCATAGCTGGAGGCTACTACGTGCAGCAAATCCCTTACTTCATCGTGTGGCTCAAGTACTTAAGCTATAGCTACTACTGCTACAAGCTGCTTTTGGGTATTCAGTACACTGATGACGACTACTACGAGTGCTCAAAGGGAGTCTGGTGCAGAGTTGGAGATTTCCCAGCGATCAAATCAATGGGACTGAACAATTTATGGATAGATGTGTTCGTTATGGGAGTGATGCTGGTCGGTTACAGGCTCATAGCGTACATGGCACTGCATCGTGTGAAGTTGAGGTAAAAGTGCAAACAAAGTAACCTCAAGAAGCTCCAAAGAGTTTTCTCCCACACAACTGCAACCAAGGAATAATATTAGTATTAGAAAAAGATAAAAAGTCGTCGAATTTTGGTCGATATTACTTACGTATCCGAGATATATATATCCGACGACTTTCTTTTGTTTTAGGATAGATGATATTATAGTCCTAAGTTTGAGAATAAAACAGTGAGAGATAATGTATGAGGTAAGATGTGAAACCAAGTATATACTAATTTCCCATTTGAAAAAAAAAAAATAGTGAAACGAAAGTGACTAAACTTTCAGAGTCCACTCTTCCGTGGAGATGAGTGTTGTATCTTTGTGGGGTTCCTTAAAAACTTTCGCTCCACACCTTGCAATAGTCACCTGCAAGTGCATCAACTGGTGAAAAAATCAATGACATGTATGTCTCAGACGATAAGAATTACACAAGTTGCTGATAATGAGACTAACAACGACAGGACATAAGCAAACACACCTGACCATGTCACTCATTGTTATCTCAAGTTCTCTAGCAGTATTTTGTTGTTTCTTTTTCACAAAAGCATGCGATAAATCACCACCCATCACATATTTTTTTTCAAACTGCAGAATCATGTCATGATAGATAAAGGAATGAGCTTTCGCTTTCAAACAAATGTGACGAATAATTGAAGAAGGAAAAAAACTTTAAATGGCTGTTATACTTCACATCGTTAGCTACAACATGATTACACTCAAAAGAAGGAAGTGGGGAAGCTACAGTGTGTGAAGAACAACATAGAGCAAGTATAAAGAAATGAATAAAAAATTCAAGGAAAAAGATAAAAACAAATCATTGGATGATAAGGCCACAAGATATGCTTACACATTATACAAAAACGTGATTCACTTTAAGTCAAGTGGAAGCTGAGGCAAGAAAAACCAAAAAAAAAGACATCACAAAGAGAAACCCATGTCACTCTCTACTTTGTCAAGTGTCATTTTCATCACCAAGAAGAACCATCTTAAACCCCCAAGTAAAAAAAACAAGAAACGTCATTCACTAACTCCTCCTGCTATCTCAGTCTCAGACCTAAATACATCATCTTTGTAGTGATTTGCATACGAAAGCAAGGAAGTGATCATATGATCTAATCATGTTCTTTTCCCTTTATACATATATTTATATAACCAGAGAGAGTACGCTAGTTGCTGTTTTTAGTGTACTAAATTAAGAGAAAATTGACCATAAGCTTATCAACCTTAGCAAGATAACATAAAGTAACCAGAGAGGATGACGAATAGCCATCTCTTAAGTCATCAATATGAAACTCCTCGTCATTCACCACAGAAATTTAGTGGTAAGCATACACTTTATCCTACAATTAACATAAACTCTGTAAAACCAAGAAACTGTTCAAAGTGAAAAATAAACATACAAGTACATTTCAATTAAATCCTGTTATAGCCATGTTCATACATAACGATTGGCTCCTAGGAAAACCAGTGTAAATTTGTCCGCTTGATGTTGATCTCATGGACTTCTAATCACAGCTCACATCTACATTTCCACTAACAAGAACTTGAAAAACGCTCGAATATTATCTAAGTAATGATAAAAAGTCATATTCACAGAATTTGCATATATACCATAAATGTCAACACACATATCCCAAAGGAACAAATTCCGCTAGCTAAAGAGCAGAAAATCACTAGAGAACATCATGTATGAAAAAAAGTAGCCAAATTCAACTTTCAGACGATTTTTCCTTAGACAGAGGAAGAAAAATCTCCAGTAAAACAACTGAAATCAACTAGTAAACAATCGATTTCTTCTCAAGTTTGAACATACAGAATTTCTGAATAAATCAATACACCTAAAAAAAATTAACATTTACTGCTATCGAAATAGGGTATACACAATACACTCACCGCATCGTTTCAAGCGAAGTGACAGTGAGTGACGCAGCGCAGACGACGACTCACTGCGGCGAAACTCGCCTGAGAGCGAAAAACGTGACCGGAATATCACAAATTAAAACGATGTCGTTTTGTCACCTAAGTCTAAAATGAATATTAAATTGCATATTAACCCTTTTATTTAGTAATTATTGGACAAACAGCCTCTATTTTGATGGAAGCCCAATAAGGCCCATAAATTTAAATGTTAAGAGGGCCCAAAACGAGTTAGATTTATAAAAGTGTCTCTCCGAGTCCTCATCTGTCTTTCTCAATTTGTATGTTCTAGGGTTTATAGCTTCTTCTCTTCAATTGTTTGTTTCTCTTTTCGTCAAAAACCAGTGTGAAGAAGAAGCAATGTCGGGAATTTCTAGGGTTTTCGGAGGATTCAGGACACTGATGGCGAAGGCGGCGACTGCTACTCCGGCGGCGACTGCTACTCCGGCAGCGACTGCTACTCCAGCAGCTACCGGCGCCGGATCTGGGAAAGGGATACTTAAGGTTGTTCCGGTCAAGAAGCCGTTGGCTGAATTCGCCGGAGAAAGCGAACTCTCTCGTGCCTCTGCCGTGAAGAAAGTGTGGGAGTATATCAAGAGCCAAAACCTCCAGGTTTGGGATTCTTACTCTCTACTCTGCTCGAGTTTCCTCTATATTCTCCGTTTGTTCTGCAGTTTCGGGCCTTTTACTTGTTTATGCACTTGTGGAATTGGGTTTTTATATCTAGCGAATTTAGAATTGTAGAGAACGAATTAGTGCATGCAAACAAATCTCTTAGAATTTGTAGAACACCAAATCCTGAATGAATGTGTATTATATCATGTGGTAGAGAAAAGATTGGTTCTTGTGATTTTGTTGAATTCGTGAAACTTCATTATCTAGACCAAAGATGCTGTTTTTACTCAGTGAAGTGCAAAATCTGTCACTGTAAACCGCAGCTAGATTGAACTTGTGTTGATCCAATTCCGATTTCCGAGTGATTTGGTTTGTAGAATTGATCTGTTTAATTGAAACAATCATATTCACAGCTGTCTTTAGTAGGGTCTTCTCTGTTTCTTGATCATTTTGATGGCTCATTTGTCTTGCTTACTAGAGATGTCTGATTCCCTGACAAAGCGTTTGGTTTCATTGTAGAATCCGGCGAACAGGAAGGAGATACTGTGCGATGATAAGCTGAAGACGATAATGGATGGCAAAGACAAAGTGGGATTCACAGAGATCACGAAGCTCTTGTCCGCTCATTTTCCTAAGTCGGTCTGATTTGGTGGTCATGTTTCTCTTCTCAGTAGTATCTAAATCTATCTAATCCAAGAAATGGGGTTTGGTTTCTTTTGGATGTGTATATTGGAAAAATTGGAAATGCCAAACCTAAAACTCTTTTTGACCCATCTTTTAGGGAAATATTATGTAATGTTGACAGTTTATCTTAATATCGTTTTGATTTTGGAGACCATGTCAATACTTTTATCACTTGTTCCTATTTTTGAATCTCATTTATTGCGATATTAATCACTTGATCAAGATTTATGGAGCTTCCAAGTATCAGATTTTGGAAACAAAAATATGATGTATCGTGGAGGTAACGAAGTCGGCAAAAGATTGTGGATTTCGATATATTTAACAGAAATGAATGGTCAAAATCAATAACATTATAGTATTTGATTGAGCTAACACGTGTCATGTTGGATGCAAGAAGAAGAAATGCGTTGTTATAACGAACATACATCAACGCGTCCATTTCGCTTTAAATCAATAGCCAAGAGTCCTTTTCGCTACGTATACACATCTACACACGTATGTATATGTAACAGAGTATATATTTATTTTTAACAAATCTTGTATCATTTGTTATTCATATAATCCTATCTTTCAAAGCTCTTGATTTTCAAATCCAGGTAATTCAAAAGGCTCTCATCTTTGATCTCTTGTAACTGTTTCTTGAATTCCTTCCAACTCATTTTTGAAACGTTGTTTAGATCGTAAGTAATGGGTAAAGACAAGCATCACGAACAAGACAAAGGAATGTTCTCGCATCATAATCACCACGGCCATGGATATCCGCCTGGAGCATATCCTCCTCCGCCGGGAGCTTATCCTCCGCAGCCTGGTTACCCTCCGCAGCAGGGTTACCCTCCGCAAGGTTATCCTCCGGCGCCTCATGGTTATCCACCCGCCGCTTATCCACCTCCTCCCGGAGCTTATCCTCCCGCCGGTTACCCCGGTCCTCAACGTCCAGGTTCTTATTACTTTGAATTAAAGTTTTGTGGGCATGTCTCTTTATAACCTCGCTTTGTTTTAAAATGAGAGCTTAGTTTGACAAAAGAAAAACAATATGCATATTTACTAGTCCGATCGGTTTATATGTTTTGGGTGGCGTCTTATCTAAATCTAGCTCTCAAAATATGGTTAAAAGACAAAATGTACATTTTTTGTTTTGAAACTTGATCAATCCAAACCGAATAGTTTCTTAAATTGAGGAATATATGGATTCAATATATTTGTATATGGTGTATGATGTATGGTCCATTTAACTATTAAACGATAAATGAAATTTCTAAAGCAAGGATTGGTTAAAAAACTTCAAGTATAAATTTAAATATATGAAATCTGTAGTTTTGATATGTTTTTGTTTAATCGATAAATTCAAGTATCATATAAAAATATGGCTTTGGTTCGGTTTGGAGATACATGCATGGAACCTACTGATTTAGAAATATCTTGTGAACAGGATTTGGAGGTGGAGGAGGAGTTGGGGGATTGATAGCAGGAGCCGCAACAGTAGCGGCGGCTGCGATGGGAAGTCACCACGCGGGTCACCACGGTGGTTATGGTCATCACGGTGGCAAGTACAAGAGAGGGTTTTTCGGTGGAGGAAAGTACAAGAGAGGGAAGCACAGTATGTTCGGAGGAGGGAAGTACAAGCGTGGCAAACACGGCATGTTCGGAGGCAAACGAGGCAAGGGTGGCTTGTTCGGACGTAGGAAGTGGAAATGATCATATTAATCATCCTCAATTCCTCATCTCTATTATGTGTCTCAACTTATTAAATTAAACATATATAATAATTAATATATTATGTGTATACCTACTTTGAAAAATTAGAAACATTGGCCTACGGCCACATTTCTTAAAAGTATGTTAATAGTTTAAAATGTATGTTGATAGTTTGTAAACACAGTTACGTATGTACATATATTTGCATCAATGCATACTTTGTTTTCCTTTTTTCTTTTTTTGGTATACACTGTTAACAATAAATCTGATCTGAATTATAAAAAACAAATTGTAGTTAATAATGTTGCTTCATTTTAGATTTAATTGCCAAATTATTTACGTTTGCAGTGCATTTGCAAAATGATTTTTTCTTAAGTCAAAAATTTTCATTGGCAAATTTGCTTCTCATGTTATTTTTTGAAATTTTTCAAGTCACTAGTACAAATTTTGTGTTAACAAATAGAAAATGAAGAATGTTATATTATCGACTTTGTTTAACCAACATGTGATCAATTACGGCGTTTATCAGTGTAGACACAATTCTAACATATATTAGTGTTATCACACAAACAAACAAACAACACCTAGCAATAGAAAATATATGCACAAACAAAATTACAAACACACGTTAAATTAAAAATTTCTAAACATTTTCCTTACTTGACATTGCCGATATTGTTCTTTCATTCACTATAGAATATTGTAAAGCAATAGTTAAAATCAAAGATTATTTTTTTATGATTTAATCATTTTTTACCAGATTTTACAACTTGGGCTGGAGAAACATTATTAGCAATGTAATATATAGTGCTCACTCGAGCA